CAAAGCCCTCTCAGGAAAAGCCAGCGTGGAGGGGTCCTGGCATACAACATCATGGCCTCGAGGTGGTAAGGAACAGCTGGCAGGTCAGGAACCGCAGCAAATTTTGGAGCTTTGGTAAGAGAATAATTTATCCGACTTTATAGGTACTACAAGTAAAAATGAGGAGAAAGTTTCTTGGGCTTAGGCATCTGACTGTGGCTCAAGTGATGATCTCATGGTTTGTAAGTTCAAGTCCCCCATAGGGTGAACTCAAGTCCTGCTTCAGGTAAAAAAAAAAAAAAAAAAAAAAAAAACACAAAAACAAGATAACAAACCACGAGCCCCACACTAGGTGAGCTTGAGCCCTGCTTCAGGTGAACACTAGCCCCATTGGGGTAAAAACACGAGTCCCACTTCAAGTGAGCCCTGCTTCTCTCTCTCTCTGCCCCTTGTGGAATTCTCTCTCTCTCTGCCCCTCGCTCACTTGAACCCTTTCAAATAACAAACAAACAAACACCCAATCTTAGATTCTGCATGAAAACTTCAGGACAGAAGTTGATTTGTGACCTCAGTGTTGTTCAAGAGCAAACTCAAGGTGGCCCATATGGCTAACACTCTTGCTGCACCTGCAACCCTAATGGGAGCAGCCTTTTTCTGTTACCAAGAGCAATATTTCTTTGACATCATTATGTTCCAAACGGGAAAGAGGTCAGGAAAGACTGTGAAAGGCCATGAAATTGACCCGATGACAGGGTGCCCTGTCCAGTGCATCCTTAGGGTTATCTAAGTTTACGGGGCCCTACTCCTTTCTCTGAGCTGCTTCACAAACTCTGTAAGTTATAGAAAATATGAGAAGGCAATTTTTTTTTTTTTAATTTTAGAGAGAGACAGCATGCAAGCAGCAGAGGGGGCAGAGGGGGAGAGAGAGAGAATCCTAAGCAGGCCCCATGCTCAGTGCAGAGCCTGACATGGGGCTCAATCCCACAACCCTACGATCATGACCTGAACTGAAACCAAAAGTTGGACCTTCAATCGACTGGGCCACCCAGGCACCCTGGCAAATTATTTCTTATCCAAAGAAATAAACGTTTTGTCCAGAGGAATGCAAATGATTATTCCCCTGTTGATACAAATTTTACATCCACCTGTAACTTCACTGTGGCATTCCTGATAATGTATGTTTTGTCTAAATTCTCCTTTAAAATTTTTTTTAACGTTTATCTATTTTGTGGGCAAGACTGCATACACAAGTGGGGGAGGGGCAAAGAGAAAGGGGGACAGAGGATCTGAAGCAGACTCTGTGCTGACAGCAGAGAGCCCGATGAGGGGTTCGAACCCACAAACCATGAGATCATGACCCGAGCTGATATCAAGAGTCAGACGTTCAACCAACTGAGCCACCCAGGCACCCCTAAATTTTTCTTTAAACTGATCATAATATCTCAATAGTTCCCTCATTAACGAGTTAAAAAAAAATGTTGAAAACAACCATAGGGGCGCCTGGGTGGCGCAGTCGGTTAAGCGTCCGACTTCAGCCAGGTCACGATCTCGCGGTCCGTGAGTTCGAGCCCTGCGTCGGGCTCTGGGCTGATGGCTCGGAGCCTGGAGCCTGTTTCCGATTCTGTGTCTCCCTCTCTCTCTGCCCCTCCCCCGTTCATGCTCTGTCTCTCTCTGTCCCAAAAAAAAAAAAAAAAAAA